ATTTGGGCCACAACTTTATTAAAATACATAATCTTTGAGTGGTTGCTTAGGCATTGGTTATGACTGTCTGTCCCCCCACCTGGGACAGAACTGACTTTCTGAACTCTCTTGGAAGCCAGTGTAGGGAAAACAATATTGGGGATCAGTTGAGCTGAGTGACAGTCCCTCACCGCTCACCCAACCTGCTCCCTAAGGCTTGCTGGCCCTGGTCCCATTTCAGGGATTGGACGAAATTGTGGCAAGCCCCAGGATTCCTTTAACGGAATTCCCTTCCACACCACCATTGGAGGGGCAGGCCCAGCCTATCCTTACCCCTCCTCCACCAATTTTTATAACCAATGCCTAACCGCAACCTTACAAGTTGTGACAAATTGCTAGGTAGTAGGCAAAAACCAAATGGCACCAGCCAATCAGCCAAATGGACAAAATTCCTACTAGGCCCCTGCCCCAACGGCAGATGACCCCATGAGAGGCATAGCAAGGTCAACCGGAACTCAGGGCGGGCGGGCGGGTGATCCGATGCACTCAGCGAAAGAGAAAGGAAAAGCTGAGTGCCCCAATATTTAAAGCCTTTGGTCCCACCCACCAAAATTGCAACATGCAATTTGTCCCAGCAACCCAGCCTTCCAATCGTTGCCCCAGGCCAGCACAATTTTACCTGCCTAGCAACAGAGGGTTGGCTTGGCAGACCCCACCGCAACACGTGCTCTCATTTCAGGGAGAACACGCTTTGCCATGAATCTCAGTTGGCCTACCAATATCTTCTATAGTGCTGAGAGATCATTACTACCACAAATGGTTTGGAAATATGAGACAGGGGGCTGATACACACACACAGAACCTGACAATGACAAAGCTTCACACCCCACACGTTAGTCCAGAAATACTATTGTTTAGTTTGAGGAACACTCTGTACTCATCTCTTGAAAAGTGGAACATATTTGGGTTCTTTCTATTTTCTGCAAGTGAACAGGACTGGGATGAAGCAACCGAGGAAATGTTTTCTCTGAGCTTCCAGTTCAGGCATAGGCAACCTCAGCCCTCCAGATGTTTTGGGACTACAACTCCCATGATCCCTAGCTAACAGGACCAGTGGTCAGGGATGATGGGAATTGTAGTCCCCAAACATCTGGAGGGCCGAGGTTGCCTATGCCTGTTCCAGTTCATAGGGGTATAGTAAAATGATTGCTGTTTTTCAATCCCTCAAATCAAAGGCATGTTTCTCAGTTATTTAATATTTGCATAGGAAAAAGTCCTGCTGAATCAAGTCAAAGGTCCGTTATAATTCAGCATCTGTGGCCAAGATGTTCTTGGGGAGCCAAAATATGGATCCTAAAAGCAGCAGCTCCCAACCCCTACATATGATTCCCAGAACTAGTATTCAGAGGCATACAGTGGACGCTCGGGTAGCAAACGTGATCCGTGCGGGAGGCACGTTCACAACCCACAGCGTTCGCAACCCACAGCACCGCGCCTGTGCACACGCGGGTTGCGATTCAGCACTTCTGCGCTTGCACAAAGCGCAATTTAGCGCTTCTGCACATGCGCAACCGCCGAAACCCGGAAGTAACCCGTCCTGGTACTTCTGGGTTTTGGCACGTCCGTAACCCGATAAAAGGCAACCTGAAGTGGCTGTAACCTGAGATATGACTGTACTGTCTCTCCCCCCCCACACAAAGTTTTTTTTTTTTTTTAAGTTTCCACAATACAATAAAATAGCATCTAGAAGAAATAGAATCAAAACAGAGCATTTGACTGCAGTATTCTCTTATCTCAACCCATGTCTGTGGAAAAACACTGTAGGGCCAGAGCCAATACCCTCACAGGTGCCTTCCCCTGTACCGCAGTGCTTTAGCAGTGCATAATGTGCTATTTCATAGCAAGTGGGAGACTGTGAATTGCAAGACCTCAAGCCAGGGTGTTGGCCTTTTAAGAATCTGAAGTCTCCACTAGGGGGCAGAGCCTAGAGGAGGTAGTCTCTAGGCAGAGGCTTGTCAAAACTCAGATTGCTCTCTGACTCTGTTGGAGCAACTTACTCACTTGGAGCTACCTGGCATCCAAGGGAGCTGCTTGTACTGCATAGTTAAACTATGGAACTCACTCCTGCAAGAGGCGGTGATCACCATTGTGATAGGAATTTTGAGGTCTTAGATATATGTCAAATGTTCATAAGTGTACCAACCAAGCACATACATAGATCAGCACAGGAAGACCGACCTGGAACCATTTTGATTCCCAAACTGTCCCAAACTGACCAAATCTTTTCTCTGCAGGGTCAAAATGGAAAAGCCTCCCCATTGTCTTTTCCTTCACAAATCCTGTCTTAAGGGTATGTCTGTGTTTGAATAGGGTATGAGCCTGTGACCTGGCCCAGGAACTAAGTATTTATCATTACAAAAGACTGGCCAGGCTACCCAGGCAATCCAATCAAGTAACCTGCCAGACAGGAGATAAACAAGGACAGGAGAAAAACAACGTTCAAATTTCTGTTTGAAGACCGCCTTTTCTGTGATGTAGGTGTGATGTATCTGAGGTGTGGTCTTAGGTTACACCCCTTCTGTGATGTATGTATGATGTTTCTGGGGGTGGTCTTGAGCTACAGGGTGGCAATTTCAAAAGTCTTTATAAGGCCTTGCACACCATTTTTCTGGGTTCCTCCTCTCTCTTGCGGGTGAGGAGAGCACCCTGTTGCAACAGATCAATAAAGATCAAGCTTACTAGCTGCTTTGCTTCTCAATATTCTCTGGTTGGCCTCTGTTATTCTCTCCTACCAATAGGGAACCTATGTAAGGACTCTATATGGGCTCTTGGATACCCCATAAGGGAAAAGGGCAATTTTTGTTTACAACACCACCAACTTGGGTAGCTTTAAAAGAGAAATGGAGGGGGGAATCATTGGGGGATAAAGCTATCAATGGATACTGGACACAATGGCTATACTCTGCCTTCATAGTTGGAGGTAGTAATGTCTTTGAATATGAGTTGCTGTAAACCACAGGAAGGCACAGGGCTCTTGTGCTTGAGGGTTCCTGTTCTGTACTGAGCTGAATCCTAGAACAATAGGATCTAGAATGCAGCAGTCTGGTTGGTCCGCAGGAGCCACCCAATCCAGCTCCAGGTGGAAGTGAATCAGCAGGAGCAGCCAATCAGGCTTCTGGAGGAGGTGAATCCGCAACCTGATTGGCCTACAGAAGCAGCCCGGAATTAGCCAGTCACGCATGGCCCATTGTGTGAATAATGTATATATAGCTAGACGTTTTGGGGAAAGTTTCATTCATTGCTACTATGAGCTGAATAAAGAGCATGAAATTCACACTCGACTCCGAGTATATTTCAGTTCCCCATAAGGATCTGGCTGAACACTGAGAAACGGGATTCTAGACTAGATGGGTCATTGGCTTGATCCAGCAGGGCTCTTCATATATGTTCCTGGGACATCTGACCTGCCTGGTTTCCTTGATCTACAATAAAGAATTAAAGTATGCACATTTTCATCCATTTCAGCCTCTGTGTATTCCTTAAAGACATCGAAAGAGTAGATGGACTGTTCCAATGCTTCCAACAATAGTTTGTTCTCTGACCATGTTCCTGATATTTAAGTGTTTAGTTAGTCATATGAGAGGGACTCAGTGTGCATAGTACTTTATGTACATAGGCAGTGCTTTTTTTCTTCCTAAAAAAATTGTTTAGGCAGTACTCTCATTTTGACTCCAAAAAATCACTATTATATACAGTGGTACCTTGGGTTAAGAACTTAATTTGTTCTGGAGGTCCGTTCTTAACCTGAAATTGTTCTTAACCTGAAGCACCACTTTAGCTAATGGGGCCTCCTGCTGCCACTGCGCCACCACTGCGCAATTTTTGTTCTCATCCTGAAGCAAAGTTCTTAACCAAAGTACTATTTCTGAGTTAGTGGGTTAGTGGAGTCTGTAACCTGAAGCGTCTGTAAACTGAAACGTCTGGAACCCAAGGTACCACTGTAGTTCAAATCGGGGGAAATAAATACAGTAAATGGACAAAAGTACAAAGACTCACAAGATGTTTAGGGGTATGCGTACCCCTGCATCTCCCCCCCCACAAAAAAACCCCCCACTGTACATAGGGACTTGTGTAGAGGAACCTACCTTTTATCAAATGCTATTCAGACCTTTGTAAATTAAAATTGGCATCTTGAAAACATACCAACAGCCGGTGCACTTGGCAAAACAGGAATAGCATTTATTTATTTTTAAATAAAACATGGGCATATTTACTTATGATAGGTTATTTAAGCCTTGTTCAGCTAATACAGATAATCAGATTAAAACAGGGTGGGACTGCTTTATACTCTTCTCTCAGAGGAAAACTGGAACGCTCTCCTATACTTGCAGTGCTCCAAATCCTCAGTGCCCATGCATGCACATATATTGATATGTACATGAGCACTTGTCTAAAGTCAAGAAATATCCATTTCCATCCCAGAGGTTTGACCACAAAGCGACCACAAAGACCATATCCTATTCTGGATAACAACCCACTCCTAAACAGGGAATGCACCATAACTCAGTGGTAGAACATCTGTTTTACAGGTAGAAGGTATCAGATCCTCTGCCTTAAACCATGAAGAGACACCACCAGTCGGTACAGATAGTATTGAGCTATGTAGACCATTCCTCTCCTGCTCAAGAAAGCATCTTTATGCCATATGTTTGTTTTATCACTGCCAGCTTGATGTCATGCTATCATTCCTTTGTCATACTCCTATAAGTGCTTTCAGCTCTGATTTCAAAATAACCAGGGCACCAAGCCAATGGAGCATTAATCACTCACAATTAATAAATGCCTAGTTGATGAGAGATATGGATTAAGCAGGGGAATACCAATTGGAATGCAGGAATACAGAAGGATGTCAGCACTACGTCAGGAATCAGCTGGTGTTTAGAGATGCCTCACTTCCCCTGGGATGGGTCGGTGGCACTGTATAAAATAAGAGAGGGTTCTTCACTCCTTCACTGGAACTTGTTCTTCTAAGGAACTATCGCTGCTGAACAAGGTAAGGTGTTTATTATTATTCATGCAAGATGTGGCAGGGTATGAGAGAAGTTGGATATTTGCACTTCCCCCCCTCCAAATTCAGCAATTATTCTGTGTTGGGATGGACAGAATTTCAAACTATCCATTAGAGATAGGCATGGAGCCACCCTTCTAAAACAACATTGGGTCCATGTTCTTCCATATACTTGCTGCTTGGTGACTCATCCCAAAGAATCTGACAGAAAATAGACAGAATTGCTTTATTGATTCTTTACGTTTGTATCTTATCATTCCTCCAGGGAGCTCAAGGTTCACACAAGTTCTCTGTAGAGATTTAGGCTGAAAGAGAGTGATAGGCCAAGGGACTGACCCCCTACCCAGTGAACTTCATGATGACCAAGTGGGAATTTGAACCATGGTTTCCTGGGTCCTAGTCCAACACTTTAACCACTAAGCCACAATGGCTGTAGATTTTGTCTTCAATGCCAGACCAGTGTAGCAACTAGGGAGTGGGAGGACAATAGCTGCAGGTGTTGAATAGGTTCAAGGTGTTCATCAATGTATTATCTTTGCCAAGTCTTAAGGTGGGGAGGTAGTCTAGATGTGTCCAAGTTTTCTCAGTCTTTGGGAAGGAGCGGATTGTCTACCTACTGGCAGAAGCTTGCCTAGATCTCAAGCAGAGGTTTCTCCCAGTTCAAACTGAAGATGTCAGGAATTGAAACTGGGACCTTCTGCATGCAAAACAGATGCTGTGCCATTGAACTATGGTTCTCCAAGACATAGAACTGGTGACTGAGGGGTGTTGAAGAATCATTCAGAGACTGGTGGACCACACAGAGCACTAGCAGGATCCCGATGAGTCTAATTCCAGTCTATATATCAAGTCTATGTGCAGCCCACCACCCTGGTTTTCCCAGTAGTGATGTATGGAAGTGAGAACTGGACCATAAAGAAGGCTGATCGCTGAAGAATTGATGCTTTTGAATTATGGTGCTGGAGGAGACTCTTGAGAGTCCCATGGACTGCAAGAAGATCAAACCTATCCATTCTTAAGGAAATCAGCCCTGAGTGCTCACTGGAAGGACAGATCCTGAAGCTGAGGCTCCAAGACTTTGGCCACCTGATGAGAAGAGAAGACTCCCTGGAAAAGACCCTGATGCTGGGAAAGATGGAGGGCACAAGGAGAAGGGGACGACAGAGGACGAGATGGTTGGATAGTGTTCTCGAAGCTACCAGCATGAGTTTGACTAAACTGCGGGAGGCAGTGGAAGACAGAAGTGCCTGGCGTGCTCTGGTCCATGGGGTCACAAAGAGTCGGACACGACTAAATGACTAAACAACAACAACATGTGCAGCCCATCACCCTGATTGTGTGGCCCCTAGGTTCATGATGCAAACTTCACTATTTTTTGCAATCCCAGTCAAGCAGCAAAGACTAACATCTCATGAGCTCATGGTGGGTCATGATAGGAGACCTACTGGTGGCCAGTATAGAAGCCTGATCTAAACGATATGTTTTGAAAAGTGTTTTGTGGTTCCTCCTCCAACCATCTCTCTGTCTCCTTTACAGGTTCACCCTTCTACTCTTTAAAAATGAGTTGCTGCTGTTGTGGACGTCGTGGCTGCTGCTGTTGCAACCAACGTAGGCCAAGAGTGGTCTACTATGTCAGGAGGCAGATCCCTGTTTCATCCAGCTGTTGTGGCCACCGATATTCTTACATCCCTTCACGAATTTGCTGCTCTCGTGGATCTCAGCTCCCCATCCAGCAGTGCTGCCCACCAGGGAAGAGATGCTAAAGAAATCTCTGCCGGCATTGAGAAACGCTCGAAATCTCCATCTCAACAGCTGGGTGGAGAAAGGCATCATGGAGAACCCCGATTTGAAAACCTGTTTGTTCACCTCTTGCAATCGCATCTTGCTGAGTTAAATGCCTGAAACCTTCCTCACCACCATGATCACCTCCTCTGCTCAACTGAACAATTTCCATTTGCTTTATTCCTTGGAATGAATTCCTGAATTAGTTTCTAACAATTGAATGAGAGGCAATACTGTGCTTTTGAGCCACATGGTGTGCAAAGCAAACATTAAAAAAAATATTGTGCAATTAAATAAGTTCTCATTTTCTTAATACTTCACTCCCACATGACCACCTCTTGTCTGCAAACTACACCTCAGGCCCTTTTAACAATCCAGACAATCCAGGATTTCCCAGGGACAATCCTGGATTTACAGAAGCCGTCCCAGTTTCTGATTTGATCCTGGAATGTCCCACTTTTCCTTTGGATGTCCCTATTTTCTTTGGGGAAATGTTGGAGGGTATGGAGTTATGCAACCCCTGAGCCAAGGAGATAAGTAGCTATACAGCCTTTAGAAGGCATCTGAAGGCAGCCCCGTATAGGAATGTTTTTAATGTTTAATGTTTTATTATGTTTTTACATATGTTGGAAACTACCTAGTCAAATGGATAATTACTATTAATATTACTAAGGGTGTCCCTATTTTCACTGGGAAAATGTTGGAGGGCATGAATAATCAATCCCTTTCACCAGGGAATTCTGGGGATTGTACCTCTGTGAGGGGAATGCTCAACATCCTTAACAAACTACAGTTCACAGGTATCAGATCGGCCAGACTTCAAGGGAATACGAACTCTCTCCCTCGCAACTGGATGCCAGAAACAGGAATCAAGAGGCCTTACCAATGTATTTATTTAAGAATCACAGAGACATGGAAAGTACATCCACTCAAAAGATGGCGTTGCTCCAACTGGGCTGCTCCACCCTCCAGTAGTGGTGTAGTGGTTAAGAGCGGCAGACTCGTAATCTGGTGAACCGGGTTCGCTTCCCCGCTCCTCCACATGCAGCTGCTGGGTGACCTTGGGCCAGTCACACTTCTCTGAAGTCTCTCAGCCCCACTCACCTCACAGAGTGTTTGTTGTGGGGGAGGGAGGGAAAGGAGAATGTTAGCCGCTTTGAGACTCCTTCGGGTAGTGATAAAGCAGGATATAAAATCCAAACTCCTCCTCCACCTCTTCTTCTTCTTCTTCTTCTTCTTCTTCTTCTTCTTCTTCTTCTTCTTCTTCTTCTTCCCTTTCTAGCAACAGCACTTCCCCTTATGGTGGCCGCCAGGTGTTAATTGTCTCTGGCTCTTTTGCTCTTGCACTTTCTTTTTTTTTTTTTAATGATATTTATTGAAAGATTTTTTAAAAAAAAAATTACAAAAGAAAACAAGTAGAAAAAGAGAAAAACAAGCCACTTCCAACCATACAAATACAAATTCAAAATAAGAGAGAAAAAAACAAAAATACACCACAAAAATTTAAAAACATTTAAAAACGAATCCATTATTCTCAACTCCTCAACTGTCAATTACCCTCTTTCCTTGACCTCCTCCTCCTCCCCTTCCTTGTGTCCTGGTTGTTAATTGTCACAGCAAATCCTTTCCATATTTCATAATATTCTGTCGTTACATTACCTTAAACTATTTTAATCTTATCTTACTATAAAAAACCTTGGAACTTAAAACTTAAATCTTATTTTTACCAACTTCTCATAACCATAATATTCTTACATAATTCTTTGAACATTTTTACTAAAGCCAAATAATTTCATTCCAACATTTTTCCAACATTCATCAATTTTATAAAACAGTCCTAGTAATGAAAAGAAATAAATAAAAACAAATCCAATCTTCATCCAGCATCCCTTCCTCCTGCTCTTGCACTTTCAATGCACTCTGGCAGGGCCAGATTTAGGTCTGATGAGGCCCTAAGCTACTGAAGGTAATGGGGCCCTTTATATTTCCAGCTGTCCTTTGTCAACAACAAATTGTTGCTGTTTTTTGTGTTGAATATATGTTATATGGTAATTTATGGACCTAATAGGTATCTAAAGCCATTTGCGCGTGTTGTCACGCAACCAGTCCATGCAGAATGTAGGCACCCTATATATCACCATCCTTTTTATTCGACCGTCAGTCAGAAAAAAGTACATTTTGTCAATACACAGTTAAAAACGCACCCTATATATAGAAAGGAGCAAAGCAGTGATATTTTGGGGAGCAGGCTAGCAGGAGGTGCCCACGACTAACACCATAGGAGCCTACACAACACAAAACGCAGTTGCTGTATGTAGGTTTTATTTAATTTTTTTTTAATCTTATATTTTGGAAATGTACATCCAGGTTTTTTTTTCCCTTTAATTTTTTTGGGGGCCCCCAAGAGAGTGGGGCCCTAAGCTATAGCTTATTTAGCTTATACATAAATCCAGGACTGCATACCAGGTTCTGGGAGAAGTGGGGTCGGGAATGCTTTGCAGTGCTAACATGTCAGCTGGCTGTTCTGGCTCTGGCTCCCTTCTCCCTTCTCCCAACACCTCCCAACTCTTCTCTTCACCTGTCTCTGAGCTGTGACCCTCCTCAAACCACTCCTGTAAATCAATACAATTTTCCCCTTCTCAGGAAGGTTCAAGAAGAGGGGGAGGGTGGTCTCCACCATTCCTCCTCAGTTCTGTCCTCCTCAGTCCAGTCCCTGACAACAGGCTTCTTTGAGGGTGAAAGGTTATAACAGGCATAGGCAAACTCAGCCCTCCAGATGTTTTGGGAGTACAACTCCTGTCATCCCCGACTACTGGTCTTGTTAGCTAGGGATGATGGGAGTTGAAGTCCCAAAACACCTGGAGGGCCGAGTTTGCCTATGCCTGGGTTATAGTTTAGAATTGTGAAATATTGCTTTAGATGTATAGTGCAGATGGGACCTAAGAGTCACCTGCCAGGTCTTTCAGCTTCTATATGTAAACTTGGGGTTGTTGGATGCCATTTTGTCCATCACAAGGCACAGAGGTAAACAATGGAGCGTGCTCCCATAGGAGTGATGGCCACCAAAATGGATGGCTTTAAAAGAGGATTAGAAAGATTCACAGAGGATAAGGCTATCTCCATGGTCGAAGGCAGCAATGCTTATGAATACCAGAGAGTTCTCCTGTGCTTGGTTCCTTGTGGGCTCCGTTTTGAGGCATCTGGGTGGCCATTTTGAGAGGAAGATTCCCCCAAAGAAGGAAGAACTGTAGCTCAGTGGTAGAGCAGCTCTTTTGCATGCAGAAGAAGAAGAAGAAGAGTTTGGATTTGATATCCCGCCTTTCACTCCCCTTCAGGAGTCTCAAAGCGGCTAACATTCTCCTTTCCCTTCCTCCCCCACAACAAACACTCTGTGAGGTGAGTGGGGCTGAGAGACTTCAGAGAAGTGTGACTAGCCCAAGGTCACCGAGCAGCTGCATGTGGAGGAGCAGAGACGCGAACCTGGTTCCCCAGATTACGAGACTACCGCTCTTAACCACTACACCACACTGGCTCTGGTTCAGTCAGAAGGACACAGGTTCAGTCCGCAGAGAGCGTCCGCCTGTCAGTGTGCATCTTATAATGAAATGCCTCCATACAAAATGGCTTGAGAATTGGAATTGTGACTTAAATAACTGAAGGGTGGAGGGATATTGAGGCAGATTTGAACCAGTAATCATTCGAATCTACTTTTCCTCAGCCCACCCGGTAAACCATCAGCCTTCCACCAAACTGGGCAGTGGGAGAGCATGTGTGTGTGTGTGTGTGTGTGTGTGTGTGTGTGAGTGAGAGAGAGAGTTTCCAGCAAAAAATAAATAAAAACAAAAAAAAGCAAACCAAAATTCTGCACAGAAATTTATAGGGAAAATAATTGTCCCATCCTTGAAGGGGAATTTATGTGAGGTTCAGAGTGTTTTCATGAGGTAATTTTGAGGGGAAGATCTGGGAAAGAATAAGAACAAATGCTTGGGCTAAGAAATTGCCAATAAGGGATTGGTGCATTAGATTTCCACTGAGGGAAAAGAGAAGTGGAGTTTGCCTCATCAGGCTCTTTGCAGTCAAGCGGCTTCTAGAACTGGAGGGGAAGGAACGTAAGGGCAAAGATGGCTCCTTGCATCCCTAGCTGTGCATGCAGAAAATCTTAATGAATAAAAAAGGCAGACCCAGGAGTATGGTAGCTTTCATGATTTCTTAATTTTTATTATTGTCTGCACATGTAGTTGGAGAAAGCATGCATTATAGCTGAGGACCCTAGAACACCAAGAGGAAACTCAAAACACCATCTATGCTACATACAATAGGCTTGGCTACATGCAACAGGCTCCTTTGCTGATGAGAAGGCTGTTGAAGGAATAATAGGAAACACAGAAGAAGGAGATTCGAAGTAGTGACTGAAGGAGCCTGGTGAGAAGCTTCAGGCAATTCATCCTTTGTAATCAAGTAACCCAGCAGCCTTAACGACCAATGCTGTTGGTCGCTATTCCGGTTGTTGCATCGACTGCTTCTGGACTTTGTTTGACTCTGGACGGTCCTTTAGCACTTCTTGGTGCCACAACATTTAGTGGTACAGCAGGGGGCACAGCATGTCTGGCTGCAGCAGGGAGAGCAGCAAGATTTGCAACTGCTGCATGGGGAGCAACAGGACTGACCACAACAGGACTGACCACAGCAGGGGGAGCAGCAGGACTGGCCACAACAGGACTGGCCACAGCAGGGGGAGCAGCAAGACTGGCCACAGCAGGGGGAGCAGCAGGACTGGCAACAGCAGGGGGAGCAGCAGGACTGGCCACAGCAGGGGGAGCAGCAAGACTGGCCACAGCAGGGGGAGCAGCAGGACTGGCCACAGCAGGGGGAGCAGCAGGACTGACCACAGCAGGACTGTCCACAGCAGGGGGAGCAGCAAGACTGGCCACAACAGGACTGGCCACAGCAAGGGGAGCAGCAAGACTGGCCACAACAGGACTGGCCACAGCAAGGGGAGCAGCAAGACTGGCCACAACAGGACTGGCCACAGCAAGGGGAGCAGCAGGACTGGCCACAGCAGGGCACAGGGCAGCACAGGAGAGCTGTCCCACAGGAGGAAGAGCAGCAATCGTTACAGCCCATCTTTTGTGGAGTGAAGGCAAAGCTGAAAGAGAACCAAAAGGATACATTCACTCTCTCTCTCTCTCACACCGTCCATTGTAGGGGCTGCCACCTCTGCTCACCCCACTCACCAACCCCATCAATCCAGCTGTTAATCTCCCTTCCCTCACATTTGGCCAATTCATCCTCCGTTTACACAAAACCCCTCCCCTTAAATCTACCCCCTCTACAGCCCCCTCTCACAGCTCATACCAACCCCAACCCTATTTATCTGAAGAAGGAAGGGGCTTCAGAAAGTGGTTTGCCAAACTGCTCCCTGAAGCACCTCCCACTCTGCTTTAAACACCGCTGCAATGAAAAAGCAGTCTACGCCACAACATTCTGTTGTATCTAGCTTATTGTGCAAAGTAGAATATAGGAATGCAGTAGAGGGATGGAAACATAGGATGCTGTCTTATGCTGAGACAGACCATCATTCCACCAAGCTCAGTATTGTCTGCACTGATGGGTAGCATCCAGGGTTTCCTAACTGGGGTGAATTCCCAGCTCTACTTGAAGATACTGAAGACTGAACCTAGAATCTTCAACATGCAAAGCACATACTCTACCACTGAGCTACTGTCCTTCCAGGCAGATAATGGGCTGAGCGGAGAGTTCAGAACTCACTTACACTAGATTATTGCACTGTGAAGGAAGGGCTCCAATTCTGTCAAAGGTTCTTCCCACTTCCTGGCTTTTAAAATACAAAAGAATCAGTGGAACTTACCAGTTGTGGTAGACTGTGAAGTCAATGAAGTAATGTGAGTGAAGGACGGAGGGATGGGAGTCCTTTTATGCAGGTCCACAAGCCCATCCCCAAGGAAGTGAGGCAGCGTAAAAGCATGCCCAGTTCTTCCTTGGCCATCCAAGCGCATTGCCATCCGCTGCGCCATCATCCGGTCTGTAATCCGTCTTGGGATCTTGTTGTATTTGTGATGAACAAAGTATATTTGGGGCCTATTATTTAACTTAGGTTCAGCTAATAACACTGTAATTTCCCCATGTGTCTAAGAGGCACTCAAAGGATTAATGTAATAAGAAGAATATTTAGCACGGTGGACATTTCACTCAGCTGTCTTCCCGGATCCGGTGACAACAGACACTGATTCATGAGCTGGAAGGTCTTATCCCACTGGAGATGCATGGGCTAAATATCATCCCCCTTCCATTAGGAGATTCATGTGACTTTTCAGGTAAGTTATACTTATTGAGGAGGAAATATGACACCCAGAAAAATCAAGTTGCCAATGTACATGGGGAGACAGTGACAATATTGAAATAATCCTGATGGATTGATGGAAGTGGGTGGTGCTGTGGTCTAAACCACAGAGCCTAGGGCTTGCCAATCAGAAGGTTGGCGGTTCAAATCCCCATAATGGGGTGAGCTCCCTTTGCTCGGTCCCTGCTCCTGCCAACCTAACAGTTCGAAAGCACGTCAAAGTGCAAGTAGATAAATAGGGTTATTTTCAGTGGGAAGGTAAACGGCGTTTCCGTGCGCTGCTCTGGTTCGCCAGAAGTGGCTTAGTCATGCTGGCCACATGATCCAGAAGCTGTACGCCGGCTCCCTCAGCCAATAAAGCAAGATGAGCGCCGCAACCCCAGAGTCATCCGCGACTGGACCTAATGGTCAGGGGTCCCTTTACCTTTACTAGATATATCCATGAAGGATCAGGTTGTCAATTTCTGCTAACGTTGATGACTATGTTCTCCTTCCACTGTAAGCATGCCTGCGAAAGCCATTTTCTGAGGAACCTAATTGGATAGAATTCCTGTTCCATTCATATTCTGTCTTGCTTGCCAATTTCCCCGGAGGCCTTTGGTTTACCACCACGAGAAGAAGATGCTGGACTAGAAAGGCCTTTGGCCTGATCCAGCAGGGCTTTTCTTGTGTAACTTGCAACTTTGCTTATTCAACTTGATAAAAAATTGTGGACTTCCTTCCGGTATGATGGCGGACAGCACTCTACTAATGTGAGCCCATTGATTTTATCTTTTTATTTTCTCTTACTCCTTTTAAAGACTATTTTAATGAATATTGAGCTCAGATAATTTTAAGCACCTCACCCTATTCCATCCCACGCTCCGCTTTCCTGACTCTTCTTGGAGCTTTAAAGCCGCATTGACTATCTTATCACACTGCGAAGAGCTTACAGGAAGATTCATGGGCTGTTCCCACCACAAGTCTGGAGGCACAGACGGAGCATAACTTAGTGTTATGCCAATAACCTTTGGCACACTCCTCCTCCTTGAATAGGATACTTTCAAGGAAAATACTCCCTCGACTCTTTGAAAAATTTAGGGAAGATAAAAGAGCGAGGCAAAGGGAGAGATGACTCAGCAATTAGACAGCCCTGCTGATGCGAGGAGGGGGGTCGGCAAACGCTGCAGAGAATCGGAGGACTCAGAGGAAATGGCATGTTTGCCCCTTACCAAGCAAACCAAAATCAGCGAATTCTTCCATGGAAAAACAAAGGACACTTTTAATATTCCGACCTCGAACAGTTTCTCGCCATTAGCAGAGATAATAGATAAGGAAATTACACCGAAGGAACCACCCACTAAACAACCCATTAACTCCTTAAACAACTCCACCACGAGACCAAAAGGCCCCAAAAAGCTCCAACTATGCCCATTCAGGCGGAAGACTGCATCGGAGAACAAGCAAACTATCTCTCTGAATTATTGCTTGAACACTCTACCACGTTAGACCTAGTGGCTAAAACCGTGGACTGTATCTTTAAATATATAAGAGACATCAAAGGCTCCTTAGAGAATATTACATCCTTTGTATCCCCAAAAGTTAATGTCAGCCCTGTAGACGTTTCACCGGAGGATAGGGCTGAACCAACGCCCAGAGTACCTGCCCTATTACGTTTAACCCCGCAGACTGGCTGCAAATCTGAAAACGAACAATCTATGGAAGATTCACACACCATATCTTCCTATAATCTTTCGTTACAAGCCACTAGACTTTGTTTAATTATCCTTCCCTTCAAAGGTCAGGTTGTTAACTGGTCGTCTACACATGTCGCAAGAAGGCATTTGGCTGAGCTTCTGGGCGTAGATCCTCTTTCCATCGATCTGAAATCCGCTGTCCACATTTACAGCAAGCCACACATGCAGAGGATACTGCTCACCTTTGATTCCAAAAAGCTTCCAACTTATATGATGTCCTTACGAAGCTACCTGACTAACTATAGAATTTTTATCACAAGAGTTTTTATCAACACTAAGATTTGCCCTCTTATTCCCTACTCTCCAGTTAAAAGGAAAGCAATTAAAAATGAGGGCATTCCATCTACTACGAGCTCTACCTCTCCACCCTCAGACTTAATTAGTTGGACAGAGACCCCCATGCCCCTCCTATCAAAGGCTACTCATCTTGAGAATTCGATGGAGCAGGAATTACTTGTCTCCTTCTCCCATCTGCCAAAAGCCGAACAAACAGAGATAACGGACAGACTAGATGAGTTATTACTCTATCTCCGCAACTTTGAAGATCTAGCGCCCATAAAAGAGGCAAATATTCCACCTAACTTGGAGCGAAAAATGGGTCATGAATCTCCTCAGGTCACGGCAGAACACACACCTCTACTCTGCCCATCTGAAATCCACGCCGAAATCTCTGTGGCGCCCTAATCACATTACCGGAGACTCAACCATCCAATGGTTGCATCTTCCACGACCCCGGAAAACCCTAGATGCTATTGAAGAGACAAAATGACTCTCACCCCTACTACTATCCTGGAACGTTGCTGGATGGCAATCGAAAACAAGGGACAAAGACGTTTTAACCTACGTATCACAGTTCAAGATCATCCTGCTCCAAGAAACCTGGATGCAAAATCCTTTCGAACTACACAATTACTTTGCTTTCCATTCCCCTGCCACAATCGGCCCAAAAGGCGGAAGACCGGCGGGAGGTTTGAGCACCTTCGTATCGACAGATCTAGGAGCCTCCCCTATCCAATTGAAAATCGATAAAAAATGGATTTTGGCCGTTAAAATATTCTCCACCCATTTTAAGATTATATGCATCAATGTCTATATTCACCCACTTATGAAACAAACTGATCTTAAAAACATCTGGAACGAACTGGAAGACTGCATTCTCCTTGTCTCAAATAAGTTTCCCTCTGCCTCCTTAATTATTGGTGGGGATTTTAATGCAAGGCTAGGCCACTCAGACGAACAATTAATCAAGGAAAGTGGAATGGGTCCCCTAAATGCTAATGATGAATATTGGCCCCTATTCAGGCGTCACTCACTTGACCCAGTCACCAATTTTGCTGGTACATGCCTTTTTTTAATGGCACTTAGATTAAACCTTGTTATTTTAAACGGCCTCTCCTCGGGGGACTGCCCTGGCCAATTTACTTACTGGTCAGGCCTAAGGCATTCTGTTATTGACTACATCCTTGTCTCCCAAGAACTTTTCGATGAATATATTGAATTTACTGTAGATACAAGAACCGAAAGTGACCATTTACCCCTAAATCTTAAAAGGACTGAATTTTGGGAACCCTCTAGATGTGGGCTTGCCCCGCAGACTCCTGATCCTAGCGCTTTACAACAAATAGGTAGATCCAGAATTAAATGGTCCCCTTATGTTAATAACCATTTTGGTATTTGGACACAATCAATGGAAGGTCAACTCCTCTGGGCTGATCTGACTTCCAACGACACTGAAGAGACCTCCCCAATCGACCATTATAACACATTAATCCGAAAACTCCAACCGTTATTGTCAAGACCCAGAAGATCTAACCAAAATGACTCCCCTACCAACAAAAAATGGTTTGACCACGAATGCACTCAGGCAAAACTTATACTCAGGGAATGCTTTAAGGTCTTCCAGCAAAATCCTAACCCTATCACTAAATTGGAGTTACAACTTAAAAAAAAGAACTACAAAGAGTTATTAAAAACCAAAAAAGAACCGCAGACTCTCTCATCTGGCAGGCCCTCATAAAAGCGTCAATAGAAAAAGACAATTCTAACTTCTGGAAAATCATCTCCAGTCAAACCAAAGCTCCTAATGAGGGCACAATAATCCCTGCAAATTCATGGGAAGAGCACTATAAAGTGCTGTTTAGGGAACATTGTCCTTCTGCGCCGCTTAACATCCCCTTAGATAATGATACACCATGGCCCCCAACATCTGAAACTGAAATCGCTTCGCTAATTCTACAAATGAAATCTGGCAAAGCCCCAGGAAGTGATTTCATTGTCGCTGAACTTTGAAAGCGCAAATAAACTGGTGGGCCCCGGTCCTTGCAAATCTATTTTCATATATAGACAAGACAACTGAAATCCCTAAAGATTGGGGACTAGCTATAATTGTTCCCATATTTAAAAAGGGCAACCCCTCTGATCCATCTAATTATAGACCAATTAGTCTCCTGAATGTGATCTGTAAACTTTATACAAAACATCTATGCCTAAAATTATGGGAATGGTTAGATCATAACAACTTGCTAGAAATTGAACAAGCAGGGTTTACATCCGGACGTTCCACCATTGATCACTGCTTAGTGTTAGATTACTTTGTCTATAAGTATGCGAAATATTGGAAAAAGTCATTATATGCGGCCTTTGTGGACCTAAAGGCAGCATTTGATTCTGTATCTAGGAGCAGGCTCTGGGCCAAATTGGCCAATATGGGTATTAACAGAAGGTTATTACTTCTGATGATTAAGCTTCATGAGAACAATACCCTCCAGATAAGACTTGCACAGGACGGCAGACTCTCTAGAGAAATCCCAGTCCAAAGAGGAGTTAGACAAGGATGCCTATTAGCCCCATTCCTATTTAACATCTATGTTAACTCCCTGGTCACATGCTGCCGTGAAATTGAAACCCACCCCCCTGTGTTCTCTAATGGCAGAAAAGTACCAATTTTAATGTATGCGGATGACGCCGTTCTTCTCTCTCAAACCAAAGTGGGTCTGAAACGTGCCTTAGGAAAGTTTAGTGACCAATGTAACACTGAACTGCTAACAATTAACTTTGCCAAAACCAAAATTGTACATTTTAACCGCTCCTTCAGGAAGGATAATTGGAGCGTAAAGGGAAACGCCATTGAACAGACTAAGACCTTCCAATATTTAGGCATTACTTTCTCTTATAATGCCAAATTCTCAGCACACTTGACCACATCAGCTATATCAGCAGAAAGAAGTGCAAATGCTATCCTTAGATTATTCAGAAGGAAAGGAGCTGGCTTCCTCCCGATGGCCCTAACAGTCTTTCAGGCAAAATCTTTAGCCCAACTTCTATATGGCTCTCAAATTAGCCCCTCTGCCAACCTTAAGACCCTTGAAACAGTACAATCTAAATTCTTAAGATCATTATTTGCTACCCCTAAGTGTACACCTAATGCAGTCTTAAGGCAAGAGGCAGGACTGCCCAGAGTGGAATTAAAAGTCTGGGAACAAGCAATATCCCTCTGGCTGAAAATCCATTACAATCCTAAGGGTCTATTACCTTGCTTCCTGGCCGCAGTTCCCTATCCTCCTTGGCTTATGCAAATAACTAACAAGATCAAACAAATTGGCCTAAACCCTGAAAATATTTTTATTGGAACTCTGAACAAGGCAAAAGCTACTATTACTCGGAGACTTTATGATATCGAATTACAACAAGAAGGCGCCCTACTCCCAGAGACGTATAGATGTTTAAAAGCTTGGCCTAATTTTACAGCTGCCCCTTACTTAACCAACATCACTAGCGAAGCCTATAGATGGGCTTTCTCTAGAGCCCGCTTTGAGACAATGCCCTCAGCAGTGCTGTACGGCAAATTCACGCGGGTTCCAATGCATGCGCGTCTCTGCCCTTGTATGTCTAATAAGGTAGAATCTGTCACACACATTCTTCTATCTTGCGAATTCTATAGTGAAGAACGAGCTCAACTTATTTTACCGCTTTTATCAAAATTTATACCCCTTCAATATTATTTGGAATCCTCCCTGAAATTCTTCGAAAATACCTCCTGGAAGATTCCTCAAGCTCAGTATCATATGAGGTGGCTAAATTTTGCACTTTAGTAATTAAGAAACGTAAATCTCTTCTGTCGAATGGCACACTGCGAAGTTCCCTTGTGTAACCTTTTTTCTTTTCTGAAGTTGTTGCTGATTTCTTGTTGTCTGATCTTGGGATGTTTAGTGTCACTGGCTTTGGCCGCAATAAACTTGAACTTGCTTATTCAACTTTCCATGCCAAATTACTAAGAAATATGCTTGTAATGTGGGAGATTACTGATTACTGTTTGTCAACCTAGCATAGTACTATGAACTGAAACCTCAAAGAAAACACTTCCTAAAACTCTTAGTCCCATTTCCTGTTCATCTACAGGACCTGAGCAGGGAACATTTGGCTGAAATCCAACTAAGTTCTATTCAGCATAGACTCAGTGAAATAATTCATTCCCATGAACTTCAGTGTAGGATTAGCAGTGGATACAACCCATAATAAATAACAACATATGTTGTTAGTCTCCATTTCCCATTGGGTCCAGTTAGCATAGTCAGTGGTCAGGGATGCTGGGAATTGGTGTCCAACAGCATCTGGTGAGGGAGTCTCTAATTTGGGTGATAACAACCACGATATTCAGCCTCGTTGGTTGTTTTTGTGTGTGTGTGAGCTTCTAATTTACCCCTCAGTCTAGTTTATACTTCTAAGCACATGCTGGTTAGACCTGAGAATTGCTCTGTTATTAGTATAAGATGTTGTTAATGATATGCTATTAGCCAACCTTCTTTTAATGAAAGGTGTGAATATAGACAAAGAGAGAGGAGTGGAATGTGCTGTGCTAGAAAGTCATCGCCTTTACTTAACCTGAATGTGCCACTGTTGGTGGTGTATCACTTCCTAAGGAAGGTCAAGTTGCAGCAAGAACCCTCTGTGTCAGGTGGCAGCGAAACCAACCTCCATGGCAGGTTGCTAGGAATGGACAAGACAAGGGAAAGTCCTTATCATCTGCGTTTATCCAAAATTCACAGAGAGAGGCTCGGGAATAATAATAATAACCCTGGCTGAGTTTCCCCAGCCACTCTGGGCGGCTCCCAATCGAGTGTTAAAAACAATACAGCATTAAATATTAAAAACTTCCTTAAACAGGGCTGCCTTCAGATGTCTTTTAAAGATAGGATAGCTACTTATTTCCTTCACATCTGAAGGGAGGGCGTTCCACTACCGAGAAGGCCCTCTGTCTGGTTCCCTGTAACCTTACTTCTCGCAATGAGGGAACCCCCAGAAGGCCCTTAGAGCTGGACCTCAGTGTCCGGGCTGAACGATGGGGGTGGAGACACTCCTTCAGGTATACAGGACCGAGGCTGTTTAGGGCTTTAAAGGTCAGCAACAACACTTTGGATTGTGCTCGGAAATGTACTGGGAGCCAATGTAGGTCTTTCAAGACCGGTGTTATGTGGTCTCGGCAGCCGCTCCCAGTCACCAGTCTGGCTGCCGTGTTCTGGATTAGTTGTAGTTTCCGGGTCACCTTCACAGCCCCACGTAGAACTCATTGCAGTAGCCCAAGCAGGAGATAATCAGAGCATGCACAACTCTGGCGAGACAGTCCGCGGGCAGGTAGGGTCTCAGCCTGCGTACCAGGTGGAGCTGGTAGACAGCCTCCCTGGACATTGTCCTGAGGAAAACCCCACACCTCTTTTCTCCCACTTCCCCATTCATCAACAGCACCCTCCCACACTTTACGGTTGACACTTAGGGCCATCCATCTCCAATCTCTTTGCTCTCCTACTTTCAAGGCCCGCCAGGTTCTGGGAGATGGTGGAATGCTTTCTACTGATAACGTGTCAGCCAGCTGCTGCTCCGGCTCTGCCTCCTCCTCCTCTACCATTATTTCCCAAATTCCCCCCTCATCTTCCTCTGAGCTGTGACCTCTCTCAAACCCCTGTTGTAATTCTGAAGTGTCTTCTTCTCTGGAAGGGTCAGGCTGGGGGAGAAGGTCTCCACCATTCCTCCCCTGCTCAGTCGTTGACACAGAACAAAATAAAAGTTTTGATGGATCAGACTAAGGTGGGGAGGGGATCTATCTAGCTCAGCAGCTGGTGTCTCACAGTGTCCAAAGAGATGCTTCCTGGAACCTCTCCCCCCAAAAAAGGAATACAATGGTACCTCGGAACTTACTTCGTTCCGGAGGTCCGTTCTTAACCTGAAACTGTTCTTAACCTGAAGCACCACTTTAGCTTATGGAGCCTCCTGCTACTGCCACGCCGCCGGAGCACAATTTCTGTTCTCATCCTGAAGCAAAGTTCTTAACCTTGGGTTAGCGGAGTCTGTAACCTGAAGCATCTGTAACCTGAAGCGTATGTAACCTGAGGTACCACTGTACTCCTGAGGGGTGTTGTGTGTGAGTGTGCAAAGGAATGCCATTATCCTTTTTATTGGTGCCATGAGAAACAATTCAAATGAATAAGAGTGTATTTGCAAGCTTTTATTTAGTCCACAAACATTACCTAATTCCACTATTTATGGAAACATTATGTTTCTGTTTAAATGTATTGAAGTCATTTGCATAATCAACTGCATTAGTTTTGGCCATAGCAGACAGAAGAACGGAATAGCAGAAGCTGAACTGCAGAAGAACGGAAACAATGACTGTGACTAACAAGGAATGTGACAGATATCTCTGCCTCCATACATCACTAGATACAACCTATTATAGTAATAGTAGTAGCAGCAGTAATAATGTTTTTTAAAGCAATGGTTATATTTATTAAGAGAGAGCAAGCACATGACCATAGAAATCCAATGCCAGATGTTCTGAGCAGGCTGAGGAATCAATAAGCTTTCAGTTCTGAAATAAATTCATAGGGTTGGGATTGGGAATTGGGCCACCAGGGTATTGTAGGATTCCAACTCCCATCAGACCTTGCCAGAATGACCAGCAATAAAGGATGGTGGGAATTGTAGTCCAGAAACATCTGGAGGGGCCACACATTCCTCATCTGTGCCTAAGGTCCTGGACTGACCGAGCAACTCATGTTGTCTATCCATCCCTATGAGTGCCATTTTGGCTAGGGGGTGAGAATTACAAGGTTAACTACAAAGAAACAGCTCTAATGAAGGGTGTGCGCACAGTCAAGGATCATACACTAGATGATGTTGTAGTGGAAGCTAATGCCGTGTTTTAATGGAGACATGAGCATTGTTGAGTAATGGCTCACTACTAGGGGGAGCAGTCGCAGAGCTGCATAAGAAGGTCCACCACCTGGTAGTTATTCACTCACTCACAGGACGCCATATTTTATCCCGTTCTTACCAGATACTACATGACATCTTTTTTGCAAATAGTTGAGATTGTAGTGGATCAAAGGATTATCCCAGACTGATTTTGTGATGGACCTGGAGAGTTATTGTCCCAAGAACAGGCATGTCCAAAGTCCATTTTGGGGGCCTAATCCGGCTGTGGTTGGCCCTTTGGTTGGCCCTCATGGCCCTTCACTTCATCAAATCTGGCCCTCTTTGAAAAAAGTTTGGACGCCACTGCCCAAGAAGTTCTATCAAATGTTCTTATTTTTCCAAGTGTCTCCAAAAAGGTAAAGGTAAAGGACCCCTGACAGTTAAGTCCAGTCGTAGACGACTCTGGGGTTGTGCAAATTGCTGTGCAAAAAAACTAGAATATCCTCCTAAGTATGTGTGTCATACATGTGCCCTCCCAATGAGATATGGCCCCCTTCCCAATATTGTATGAGAGATGGAGATGTGCTCCTCAAGAACTCAGCTTCTGATCCTTACTGGCCCAGCAGCCCTTCAGCTGGAGATGCTTGCCAAGCAGATGACTTATGCAGGATCTATGACACATTCCCCATCTCAAGGCAAAGGAACACAAGAACACTCTACTGTGCTTTAGAATCTTTATTAACTGCTGTATGAACATATTTCTCCCCCCATAGAGGAGTTATTCAAAGAGATGAAAAGAGAATGACCCCCAGGACCACCATGATGATAAAGAGAAGACAACTGGCATGCCTCCTTGAAGGAAAACAAAGCAAAGTAAGAAGGAGATGAGAAGAATCCAGGGTTGTAAAAGGAGGCAGGAATAAACTTAAGGCACAGAAACAGATGAATCCAAGGAGTCCACCAGCATGGAGGAGGCAGCAGCTCTCAACACTTCACTGAACTTCTTCAGCAGCAGCCTTGCTTAGGATAGCAGCAACAGGAACCACAGCCGCAACAGCCACAGCCACAGGAACCACAGCCACAAGAGTTGCAGCAGCAGGGGGAACAGCAGCAGCAGGAAGGAGAGCAGCAACAGCAAGGACAGCAGCAGCAGCAGGGACAGCAGCAGCACTTGCAGCAGCAGGGAGAGCAGCAACAATTGGAGCAGCAGGACATCTTAGCAGTGGAGAGGGAAGGTGGAGCTGAAAGAATTCAAGGGATTTCTCATTAAGGAAACAGAACACAATATTAAGGACACCTTAGATATCTAAACATTACAGCTTAAGACCAACATGAAACGTATGTTTAAAGTTTGCTACACATTGCATCAAGGAAAGGAATGCATAAACTGGCCTCTTCTGAGTCTCCGTTGGGAACTCACTGAAATTCAGGTAAACACATCTGAGAGGATGCTCTCTGAGCCCCCAACATCCTGTTAGGAAACAGATGACATGCTTGGCAGAAAAAAGACTATCTTAGATCCTGTGCAACACAATATTAGGCAAATATTTTAGTCCTACAATGCTGCAAGAATTCAGTCCTAAAGGCAAGATCCCAACTTCTCTTTGAATGAATAAAAACATGTGTTGTAAGAAATGGCATTTGCAAGAGACCTTCAATCCCTTGCACCCAAGAGAAAAGTAGGCTTTGAGTTAGAATTAACATCAATTACGCTTTTCTCCATGCACACCTCCCCATGTGGCAGGAGGCCAGGATTGGTCACCAAGAATAGGAAATATAGTGAACCAGTTTCATTGCAAAACCAGAGCTGTTAGACTACATCCTAAAGAACTGAAGCTCTCCTGAAATCTAGGAAACCGAAAGAATGAAGACAGAACATACCTTTTTCAGCAATAAGATTTGG